CTCTTGAACAGAGTTAAGCAAAATTAGAGAATGCATATTTTGTTTTATATGTGTAAAAATACAAGAAATAAATGATTAAATATTCATTGTAAAAAATGCCCTGCCTGTTGTTTTATAACTTATTTTTGTCATTTCAAAACATAACCTTGTATGTATTTACCTCTTTCCAATGTAATGTAATTTCCTATGTAATTCCCATGTAATCGAATATTCTACAAAATCCAGTATTCTACAATATTCTACTAATTTAATTTCCTGAGTGGTGCTCCTTTGTTCAGTGCACATTTACACGCTTAATCTTTACCCATTCTACTTTACTAAATAGTAGTTTCCAACTGACCTGGGATGAACGACCTTTGGGCACATCTTTGGTTATTTTGAGGGAACATATTTCTAGAAGTAGAATGGCTGAACTAAAGACCACAAGAAGATTTGATAAAAGATGTTAAAAATTTTCTATTCATTCTCAGAAGTACAGTATTTTCAAGATCTATCAGCCAGTAGATCTTATGCTCATTTCTCTTTATCTTCTGAAGTACAAAATTTATATTTAAAATGATACATTTTTTCAAGTATATATTTTAAATATTTTATGTTAAAATATCTTTGCCCAGTTGGCAAATAAATATTGGTTTGAATTGGTATTTCACTGAGTTCTAGTGAGACTAAAACTTTTTCTTAACTTATTTTGATTATTACATTTATTACTCTACACTTGATCTTAGCGAAAAGGCTGAGAAGTGAAGCTTTTATTACTCTAACTGGTATCTTCAGATGAAGTTCAGAGAGGCTAAATGATTTGGTCAAGCACACACAGCTTGTGTGAAGCAGATAGAAGACTTTTTATATGCTGAAGTGAACTGAATCATCCTTCGGTTTTCTGGGTAAACAAAGCTTGTGAAGCAAACTTTGGTGGAGTCCAATAGTCCAAGGATTAGTAGTGAGTTTCTTCCAACCAAATCATCTTTGTGAAATATTGCTTGGAGAATTATCACGAAAGTTTAATGGTTAATAGGTCTTTTGTCTTTGATTCATAATTCCAAGACAAAGTAGGCCCGGGCTGAGATGGGAAGTTACAGTGGAGATTGCTAAAATAGGTGTCTGGATGTGCTGGCAGCATCCTTCTCACCGCCATCAGTCATGGAAGTCTGTAGCTGAGACACAGAGGGAGCCTTGACCAGTGCCCCAGTGTGAGACGAAGCAACCAGCCGCATCTGTTTATGACAGTGTGTCTACCAGCTATTTCAAGAGACACTCAGAAGCTGATGCTTCACTTTTCAATTCCAAATGCCTTTTTTAAAAAAAATTATGTAAGGTCACGTTGTCACCTGCTAGTTTAACCTTGGGTGACAAAGTCAAAGTCTCTTTAATAACTAACTAGAAAGTCCATGAGTCAACATTTGTTAAAGAAAGAAACAATAATAAAGAGTCTCAATAACAAAGGGTTTCATAAATGTTGAGAAAGAAGTGGAAGAGGAGGAGAAAGAACATTAGCAAAACGTGATCAATAAATATCAGATGAAGGTTTGTTTGAATTAAGGAATATGCAGGAGCTGAGGGAAAAGGAAGACATTAACATTTGTTTTTAAAAAATACTTTTAACATTTCTTCCTAGTTGGCTCCAAAAGTCTTAACCCAAGAGTGATTTTTTTTCCTTCAAAGAGCAGGCAGTCAAGTGCCCATCAAGCAGAGTACAAGAGGAAGTGCCTTTTAACGCCTGTTCAGTCTGAACTCAATTTTGTCCATGATTATTTTAGGTCAGAAGAGTAAAACAATAATACAGTCCTCATCATCTGTAATCTCCCCTCTCCCCAAAGAAATATTGAGAAGCAGAAAAACCCCACAGGAGCCAGTAACAGCGATAAACATAGTTCAGACCTTAGTTCAACCACAGCCACCGTGGATTCAGTGTCTCCTCTAGCATTAGGACCATACAGATGGGTGGATGAATTCTTTAAGACCTTGCATAAAGGTCTTTTACCTCAAGGGTAACTTTTCTGTTACAACTCTGTGTATGTTCCTCGTGTAAGAGATTTTTGAGTAAATACATAAACAGGCCTCTTAGTTTAGCCTGTGACCCACCTCCTACTAACACAAGGAATGTAGACAAGTGAATTAACTTTTGTATGCCTCAGTTTCCCCAACTATACAATAAGGATGATGAAACACAGTATCTCAGTTGATTTTTCTAAAAGCCCCTTGAGGCAGCTACTATCTCTGCACGTCTGTTGAGTTGACCAAAAGAATTAATGTGTGTAAGTAAAGTGCCGACTAGAACTGTGGAAATTCCTCAGAAAACTAAAAGTAGAGATTCCATTTATCTTCGGGGTATCTTCCCAAAAGAAGCAAAAGGCATCATACTAGTCCTAGTTTAGTGATGGTGAACCTTTTAGAAATTTCAGTGTCACACACAGCCCACTGCACCACCCATGCCATAGGTTTGCCGTTACTGCCCTAATGTATAGTAGCGCGACTCATAAGGGTTAAATCTTGGAAGCAGCCCACATGCCCATCGACAGAGGAGTGGATAAAGAAAATGTGACACGGACACAAGAAGTACAACTTGGCCAAAATGCAGAACACATTTGAATCATTTGTAGGAAAATGCATGTACACCGAGACCATGTTAAATAAAATAAATGAGAACAGAAACTACTGCGTGTCTCCTCTTCAAGGAGAAACCCAAGCTGTAAAGCATTTAGAACCAAAATAAGAGATAAGTGATAGGAAACGGGAAGATAGACTGTGGAGATGAGCAGGGGATCTGGGGCTTGGGGAAGACAGGAGAGGAGGGGAAGGAGAAGTAAAGCAGGGCAATATGTACCAGTGCCTCCCACGATGAATGCATTATTGTGTACTGCGAACATATACTAATAAGAAGGGCAGAAGCAATAAATGAATTTTCATTACTATTAAAATAATAGTGCTAGCAAATAAACTCTTTGTGTTTGCTCTGTCTTTTCTAATATACTATCCAAAGTGGAGCTGCCACGTAGCAATGGCATAAACAGTCTACAGCTTGCTTCTGGGAAATTTTTATTACTTCAAAATAATATGTGTATAGACTGGCACCTCATTAATTTTTATATTGCACTATCTCAAACTTGCATAATACAAATAAGCATAAAATGAATGTTTATTCGAATAGGCCTAAGGTGTCAAAGTACAAGGGCTTCTTAAGGACACCTGCTCTTTACTGATACTCAAAAACTCTGGTGGGCCAGTAGCTGTTCAAGCTTTGTCCAGGACACGTGCTTGCTGGTGGCTACAAACCACAGAGATTTAGAATATGCTCATACAGATAGACACCAAATAAGACCAGTAACAAAACTCATATGCCAGACACCATTCTATGCCTTACGGGCACATTATCGTATCAGTTCTTACAATGCCCTGTGTAGTAAAGATCACATGTGTCCCATTTTACAGATGAAGAAACTGAGACACAAAACCTGTAAGCAATGTGTCTACAGTCACCTTGTTGGTAAGTGTTGTCACTGGAATTTAAACCTAAATACCAACTTCAGAATGCAGGTGTAATTGTGCTACTACAACTCAAGAAGTTGTGAACTGTGCAAAGCTGCTCTTATGCTCAACTTTTTCCTCTCTTCAGTTATTTTATACATATAGTCCCACCAGCAAACATACTCATAATGATCATGAGCAGTATGAGCAGATACTGAAAACATACAAAGCGAGAAAGGGAAACGATTCAAATACGATGTTCTCATCCAAAGATAACCACTGTTTATTTAAATCTGGGTGTATTTGTGTTTTTTTCTATGTATGTGGTTCAGCACATATGGTTATGAACCTGTGGTTAAATTAGACACACAATTTAACCTTTCTTTTTTTGTTCTTAACCCATGTGATAAAATCCTCATGAACACTCTATGCAGACTACATAATGTCCAGCTGCGCGGTAATTCCATCACATATTTACTAATCGTCTCAATTTGGACACCTGAGTTCTTTCAGCTTCTACCGTGCAATGAGTCTCTCTTTTTTGATAGTTCCTCCTGGTATATCTGCACAGCTCCTTCAGACATTCAACAACCTTAATACCTTTTATGTTCCCTTCTTTCAAAACTTCCTTACTTCCTGATCAACTCATCTGTACTGTGTACGTTTGAGAAAGCTTAATTTATTATCTTTTAAAGGATGCACTTACCAGTTTAAAACAAAGGAATGACGCCTGAACTGTGAGATGTCAGTTATCAGATAATCTAATCCAGGGCATTCCACCAGCCCCCAACTAACTACAGAGCAGCCTCCACAATGGCAAAAAGTTAAAGGGCTGACTTAATTTTAGCAAAGCTGTTAAGACAACACAGAACTACAGAGTTGATGTGCTCAGGGAAGGAAAGAGTTTATGGAAGATGAACAAATTGGGTAGAAAAATGAAAGAATTAGAAAATTCTTGGCAGCGTGAAGTGTATTTGGCACCACTAACCCAATTTCCCCACCTCTTCTTTCTAATTGTACTTGGCCCTTGGGAGGGGCCAGCCCACCTTCCCAGAACAGCCTGGTCTGGTTCTCAGTCCTAATTACTCTACCAAATGGCGCCACGGAGCGAATCACCCGGAGCGGAAGTAAAGTTGTGAGAGGGACCATCCTCCCATTTTCTGGGAGCACTTCCAAGCCTGCGTTCACAGGCAAATCCTGTTGGAGCCTCAGCTCCCGCGACTTAAGGGGAACAAAACCTGTAGGGGAATCAGGGCCCCCATGCTGTGTTCCCAAAATCCTGTTCTGCCTCCAGAGTTCTCGTCTTTCTCCTAGAGCCTTCGGGCTTTCGTGGATGTGGAAATCACAGCCTCTGCGCAGAGGAGCGAGGGACCCGCTTCCCTCACCCCGAAACCTCTCCCAGCTCGCCAGAGCGGGACGGCGGCTCTGCCTGGGAGGGAGGCGCGGTGGCTCCGCCCCCTCTGGACTGGAGCCTGCGGGAAACCTTAAATCCCAGACCCGGCGCGCCGGGCGGTAGTAAGCCTCACTCCTGCCGAAGGCTGTGGGGCGGGACGCGTGGTTCCCGCAGAGGCCGCCGCAGCCCCGTCCGCAGCGCCCGACGCCCTCCCACGCCCACCCCGCCGGGACCCCCAGCGCCCCGCGCGCACCCACCGCCGCCCCGGCCCGCCGCTCCTCCCTCCTTCCCGGCTGGTTGGCGGGGGCGCCACCGAACGCTGCAGCAGGAGGAGCCGGGCGCGGCCAGGCAAAACCACCGCGCTAGCTGGTGGCGGGTGGGGTGCGCGGTCCCTGAGGCGGCGGTGACAGTGACAGCGGCCGCGGCGGCGGCGCCCGGCACGCACCCTCCCCCTAGTGCATCCGCATCCCGCCGCCTCCGCGCCTCTGAGCTGCCCGAGCCCCGCGCACGGCAGAGCCCCGCGCACAATAGCTGCGGCCGCGGCTCGGACCTCCAGAGCCAGCCATGGGGAAGCCGGCGAAGAAGGGGTACGACTGGAAGCGCTTCGTGAAGAACAACTGGCTGCTGCTCTCCACCGTGACCGCGGTGGTGCTAGGTGAGCAGCGCTGCGGGTGGGCGACGCGCGCACACTCACGCGCGCTCAGCGCCCAGGCCGCGTGCGGGGCGTGCGGGAGCGCGGGTGGACACGGCGCGGCGCGCCCTGGCTTTGGGCTCGGACCCCACGCGGAGGGTTTCCTCGGGAACTCCCCCGCGGAGAACAAAGCTCCGCGGGGACTCCCATGTGATTTCTCCGTGAGCGGTCTGTGCCTGCTTTACCCCTCATGATCCAAGAGGCTTGGGAGCTGGAAAAGGAACCAAGTGGCTCTCTCGGAGGTGATCCTTTGTAACCAAACAGGGTTTAATTTTTTATTCAACGCTACGTGTTCCTTCATTTCTCCCCCTTTTTCCCTCTGAACCACGGTTCAGAAAGTGGTGTGACAGCGGTATGAATTGCAGTTACTGGTCGCACGGGCAGAACCACCTTGGCCTCCGGGATGGCGGAGCCCCTCAGCCAGAAAGCCCGGACATGTTGCTGCCCCTCGCCCAGGGCCATGAGTGGAGAGCCCCCTTCCTGTGGGCAAGCGCCTGCTGCCTCTACCTGGAGTCCGCTAAACTGCCAGATTCCTGCTGGAGATCAGGGATGTGCAGATGTGCGCAGCTGTGGCCCTCCGGAGGTTCAAAGGGACGAGAAGTCAGCACCCCCTACCTTCCTGGGCTACCTTGCTCTCCACGTGTTCCTCTATTAAAAATAATTGTAAGCCATTTTTACTTGTTTTTAAACAAGGATGCATTTAAGTGGTTCACTCCTGACATCACTGGGTTAGGTGGATGCCTGAGCCATTGCTCAGTTGGTAGGTGTTGTTCATAGTTAGAGTGTGAATTTCGGCCAAGGTTACCTGTTTTCTAAATTGAGCTTCAAGCAAGATGTCTTTGGAGTTGGAGCCATTTCTCCTTGTCCTAAGAGCTTACACAGGTGAGGTCACTCCAGAGGGAAGGCTGGTGCACCCTCTGGGGAAAGTGGATTCCTTGGCAGGCGCCACCTCTTGTTTCTGAAATGCAGCTGGAAAGGGGTTGTTGGGGAACAGCCTGTCCCCCTCCAGGTCTCCTGCACTTTGCTTTCCAGCTGCTGCTTCCGAATCCGGAAATATTTGGCATTGCCTGTTCTCCTTGCAATGCTCTCCCCACCAAAAGAAAATTATTTGGCAGTTAGTGGGATTCTTGTGGTCTAATTGACTCCTTAAGAACTTTATGCAACGGACAGTCAGGTTTCTAGTAAATAAATAACATCCTGTAATTGCCTTAGCTGAGGACATTCTTGTGGGAGGAAAGGAGTAGAGAAACAAGGGTTGACTTTTTCCTTGAGGAAGTGCCAAATGTTTTGGGGCATTTTTAGGGAAGGTTTATCCTACCCCGCCACATAGAAATAACAGAGCCCACATAGAGTAGTTTGATTTCCTTTCAGCCCAAAGAAGCAATGACTTTGTTTGTCTTCCAAGTGGTAAGTCCAGTATTAATTATTAAATCCTTGTGTCTTTTGTGAAATGGCCTTAGGCATGTGCCTCCCTCCCAATTTCCTGTGGTAGGGCACTGGTCCTGATTTTTCAGCCCTGTATTCTTCAGAGAAACTCACCTGTTGACCAAGTTCTGGGCACCACTGGACAGTGTACCCACTCATTAGAGGCTGTTTTGGAAAGAACTTTGAGCAGCTGTTTTCTGGCATTTGGAACAACTTGCGTAAATACATTCAAGGGCTGGAGGGACCTCATGGCCTTTGGTCTCAGGTGTGCCTTTCCCCACCTATAATGTAAATGAGCTACAGGAGCCTGACACAGTTTTGACTTTTTGTTTGTTTGTTTTGTTTTCTTCATAAAGGAAATCCTACGTTTAAAATTTGTAAGTGCCTGGCTAAAGTGTTGCTGCACATTTGTTCCTCCAAACCACAACACAAGGAAGTCCCTCAGTGCCTCCGAGAAATCTTAAGCCCAGACCATCCCAAGACATCCATCGCAGCCCACTCTTTGCTGTTTTCATTGGCACATTCTGGGCCTGAGTAAAAAGAATCATACCTCTTTCCTGTAGTCTGCACTGGCCCTCTTGTTTAATAAGCAGTGAAATCCCAGCTTATACTGGCACCAAATATTCACAAGCCCTTGCTAAAGTCATGATAGAAAGGGATTTTTTATAACTGCCTTAATTGGTCTAGAAAAATTGCAAAAACAATTTTTTAATGTAGCCTCTTTTTGGGCTTCCCAACATGTGGATCTTAAAAAAAGAAAAAAAAAAAAAAGGTTAAATTTATTAAATACCTTGGTGAAATGTTGTCTTCTGATCACAGCCATTGAGATGTTTAGTCCCTGCTAACATTCAGCAGCTCTGACTATAAAATATTTTAGTAATTAAAATGAAGGGCAAAGTTTTTTTTTTTTTAATGAGCCTGCCTAAAGTTTCTGGTTTTCCAAAATATAGCGTATGAAGGGAAAATGCAAGTGGAGTTTTTTATGGACCAGAAGATGCAATGAGCTAAACATTTCTCAAATTCTTATTCACAAGGTAAAGAGATCAAATAGTTAGATTACCATCATTATTAATTTCTGTGAAGCCCTACAAGATCCTGAAAATAATATCTTGCATTTTCACTAAAGAAACTGTCCTGAAATACTATAAGGATCATTTTTATTGCTTGCGTTATAATTCTTACAGGTGTCCCTGTTTCTGTAGTGTAGTGGATGAAGCACAATGCCTACAGTCTGGAGTCCTGAATTCTGGCACTTCCAGGCTCTACTATCTAGATAAATTGTTTATTCTCTAGCATCCTCATTCAGAAAATGGGAATATTTGTTATTAGGGTTGGTTAAGATAATGTGAACATGCCTAATTCTGTGGTTGGCATAAAATAAGTGCCCAATAAGTGTTATTTTAAGGTCAACCTGACTCACTGGATTATTAGGAAATTATTTTATGAAATCAGAGTCTGCTGCTGTATCTCTTTCTTCTGCTTCATGTCCAGTAATTTAGAACCCAGGATGATGCAAGTATTTTGATGACACATTCTGTCTAAGCCACCACAGCCTCTACGACAATCTTTTTTTTAAATTGAAATGAAAAGAATCATTTTGCTTTGTGCTCTGAAGCCTAACTCTCAATTCACTTAGCAGGCAAAAATCTTGAGGGGCAGAAATGTTTTGTTGTTGTTTTTGTTTGGGGGTAGGGGTTTCTGTTCAAGCAGAATTTCTTGAGTGTGAAAATTCTGTGAGCATTCTGACCCAAGTTACCAACAATGATTTTATAATGTGTAAATGTTGGGAAGTGACTTATGTCCTCATCTTACCTACAGCTTACAGCCTCACCTTCTAATTGCTTATATGTTATTCTAGTCATTTTTTAAATCCATGGTTTCAGATTTAGGGACCTCTCGAAAAAGGTAGTAGGTATTTTATGCAATGGAGCTTAGATGCTTCCTTATTTGAAATAATTTCCTTTGAAGTATGAAAGAAACAATCACTGATAGATTCCAATTCATTATCTCACATCAGAAAAAGTCTTTCATGTTTTTAATAATACTTTGGCTCAACCTGTGTCTCTTGCCCTAAGGCTCTGTTGCATATACCTGGCAGTGTTCATTGGAGACTTGATGACTGCTTTCTCCATCTGTGTGCTTCTATGTCAGTCTGTAAAACTCCTAAGCATGGACCAGCCCAAGCTGTGGTTCCAGGTCCAGCCCTATCTTCCCTGTCGTTGGCTCAGCAGTAATTAGGATGATACCTACAGGAACTAACATTTTCATCATTCAGGAATCCAACAAAGGTGTGCTAGGCACCAAATACCCTGAAGGCTTCTTAACTTCAACTTGTCCACAGTAGAATATACCATGTTCCTCTCCTTCTGGGTCTTCTTATCCAATTAGAAATCATCACTGCCTTGTCCACTAGCCAGATCCCACTACACCCTGAGGGTTAGCTTGCTGGGCACTGCAAGCTTGCTCATCAATCCTGTACCTTCAGCTCCCACTACAGGCTGCTTAGCTAGCTGATTGCTCTTCCCCTTGCCTGGATCTTGGACTTGATCCACCCCACTGTTGTGTACACCTCTTACTCCATTTGTCTCCTCCTACTTTCTCCCTCTTACACTCCCTTGCTTTTTATCCCACACACAAGGGATGATCAAATTACACAGTGACTTTTCAAATGGAAAGGGGACAAATGGAGGGAGGAGAGATGAAGTAAAATAGATTAAGATGTGTTATGCACTGGTACTAGCCCTCCACAATAAATGCAATTATTCTTCCAGAAGAACATGGCGGATAGATAGCAGCTATGGAGGCTCTCTGAGATAGCCAGCTTAGAATCCAGGAATGGTGCGGTGTGGGGAGTCCTAAGCAAGAGGAGATATACCATGCTGACCCAGGAACGAACTAAGCTGAGAGAAACCAACTGGAAATGCAATCCCGATGCTATAACCGGAACAGATAAAATCTCAGTGCCTAAGCTGGAACTCACGCCTCTGGAAACCGTGATTTGAATTTCCCACCACCACTGCTGTGTCTGAATTGGCACGGCAGGGACAGAGACATGAAAGCTCTGAGAGCGGGACTTGGCGAACCGAATTGAGAGCAGAACTGGCGAGGAGCCCTGCATTGACCTTCAGTAAGTGAGAGGAACGGGGACCCTTCCATAGACTGGGAGGCTCCAACAGAGGACATTCTGGGACTGGGAAGACTAGCTGGAACAGGACGCTGCAGTGACTTTAGTCACATATTCCCTTCTCAAGCGGGATTGATGGAGAGTACCTGACCTGGGTGAAGCTGTGGACTAAGACCCAGTAGGCTAGCCCAAACCAGGTCCCAGCACCTGGTGGTGCACCCTACCAGTGAATCCTTCAATAGGTTGACCTGGAGGGGTGGGCCCAACATACGCTGGCCAGGTCTGTGTCTCCTTAGTACACTGCAGTGGGTGGGAACACCTAGCTGGCGGATTCAAACAAACTGTAACCCACAAAGAAAGAAACTGGGCCTCCTATATACACCTGTATGGAAGGAATAAAAAATATGAGAAGAAG